ACCTAGCATTGTGAACTTCATGTTCTTGAGACTGATTTTTCTGTGGTTATCGCAAGAGAACTTGTCTTCCTTTTAAGTGACTGGGATAGTCAGTGCTTGAGGCTAGTCAGAGGGGATCGTATTGAATTCCTGTACGCTATCAAGCACTTTTTAAAAAATTCTAATCAGTAGTTCTCGACTACTGTCCTCAGATTCCTCTGGTGCTAGCTCATTGGAGTCTTCTGTCCTCCTTCGTTTTAGTTTACCTGCAGCTTTCTCAACTTCCATAAAAGTTGGAAGATCTACCACAGTGTTCCACTCAGAGTGTGGCAGGAAAACGGGCAACTGAAAAGTAACTGAATACCAATTGAACTGTTCCTCAAAGTATTCTTTCTATAGTTCCACTCCTCTGCTGTATGAGCGAGTTGGAGACCCACTAATCATCAATTTCTGACGCCCCAGTTTCCTTGTTTACCGTTACCTATTGCTAGTGTCTTCCCCATCTCTTTTGTCTTTCCTATCCACTTCCACTCGTTTTCATTGTATAGACTCTTTGTCAGCATTTTTACTGTTTTGAAATGACTGTTTGTTTAGTGAAACCAATTATTGTGACTGACTCCACTTTTAACACATTATTATTATTATTTGTCCCTTTTGTTCCTAATGGAACATAGGGCTTCAGTAGCACATCTTCAGTGCACTCTGTTCTCTGCAGACTTTTGAACCTGGTTCCACAACAGCCCATAAGCTCTCATTTCTTCCTTGCACGATCTCCTCCATGTCACCCTTGCTTCGGACACCCAACTGGTCGTTTCCCCTTTGGGTTCCACTCGAGTGATTGGCCTGGCGCATGATGTCCCCAGTCGGCCTTCTCAGTGTATGCCGAATCTAATCCATCTCCACTTGCTTGTGCATATTTGCTGAGTGATAGGTTGTTGGTTGGTTCGTTGCCAGACCAGAGTTCGTTGTTGCTTATTCCTATCATTCTGGCCATCTGATCTTCAATAACGAGCCAGCGTAGGTGGCAGTTGTTGATGAATGTGTGTAGTTTGTTGGAAATGCCTTATGTGACGCGCAAAGTTTGTGAACCATGAAATGGAAGCAGTGACTTGACTGGTATTGGTGTTGAAAATCCGTATGTTGTTCACGCTTTATGCTGATTGCAGAAGATCTGCACACTGATTTCAGGTTAATGAATGCCTGTCTTGCTGTGTTTCCGATCCTGGCTGGCTTTGACGTCCTCGTCTGTGTCTGTGTCTGTGCCTGTGCTGCCTAGATAGGTGAAGGAGACTACTTCGTTTAAGCTTCTCCCGTTGATGGTGATTGATGCCTCTTGTTGTTGTTGTTGTTTGTTGGGTATCTTCATCACCTCTGTCTTCTCTACGTCCACTTGAAGTCCCGTCTTCCTTGGCTGCCCTGCCTCTTTTGTCAAGCTGTTAGTTTTCGCCTGTAGATGTACAAGTTTGTGTGACATTGGACACGAGTCACCGGTGAAATCCAAATCTTGTAGTATCTTTTCATTGGTGCAGTGTATCCCCTTCTTCTCGCTCCTTACTGTTTGTTGCATGATCCAGTCGACCACAATGAGGATTATCATGGGTGATAGTAGATAGCCTTGTTTCACTCCTGTCTTCACTTGACTGCAAAGGCATCAGTGAGCTTCCTATTGTGAATTACTTGGCATGTGGCGTCTTCATATAATTGTTGAATGAGATTGAGAAAGGTTTGTGGTATTCTGTAGTGTTGAAGCAACTGCCCAATTACTTGTCGGTTGATGCTGTCAAAGGTAGAGGTAGAGGGTTGACTGCCATTCTATACTCTATTTTATGATGATGCGTAGAGTGGTGTTGCAATTTGTTCCACACAAGAGCTGTACTTCCTGAAGGCAGCCCTCCTGTTTTGGTTGTGGTATTGAATTCAGCGCATCCTTTAGTCTCTCGAGGATGATATGGCTTATTATTTTGCTTGGTGTGGGTGGGTGGACAGGAGAGTGATTCCGTGCCAGTTGTTGCAAAATCGTAAATGGACCTTCTTCGGGAGTTTGACAAGGTAACCCTTCTTCCAATCTGCAGATACCTTCCCTTCCTTCCAGACCTTCTGCAATAGAGGTGTGGTGTGAGCATGTCCTGTGTTATCTCTGTGTCTGTTCTCAGTGCTTCTGGTGGGATTCCATCTGGTCCTGTTGCTTTGCCTCATTTCAGTAGCTTTATTGCATTCAAGACTTTGACTTTTGTTGGAGGTTTTATGTTGACTTGTAGTTCTGTGACTGGGCTGCAGGTTGTATTTGTGGACGAAGTGCAGGTGGTGGTGGTGGTGGTCGATTCAAGAGCTTTTTGAAGTGGTCGGCCCATCGTTTTCTTTGTTTCTCTTCTTTGGTAATTATATTTCGTTGATCATCTTTTATTGGTTTGATGTGTGTTGATCTCCTCGCTCCCAGATAGTAACCTGGTTATTTGATATAAAGTTGTCAGGTCTCTTTTACCAGCTTGTAGCTTGTTCTGCTTCACTTGTGAGTGTGTCGTGGAAGTGTATTTTGTCTTTTCGCTCACTCTTCACTTCTTCGTCCAGTGTTGTACTCAGTTTGTCTTTTCGTTGTTCATCCTTGCACTGTACTGGTTTATCTTCTGCTTCATCATCCTCCTCTCCTCTATCAGCTTCCATGTGTCCGTCGAGATCCACTCCATTCTTCATCTTCTTTTTTCTTTCTTCGTGATGCGGTTATGCAGGTTTCTTTCCACATAGCTTCCAAAGAGTTTGAGTGCTCATCCCCACAGGTTTCTTGAGGGATGCTGCTAGATATCTGCTACTTTGTCTTGTTGGCTGACTGATGTGAAGATGTACTGTGTAGTTTCGTCCTTCAGTTTCTATTCTTGATGTTGTACTTGAACTGTGGTCTATCACCAACTTGGTTCCCACTGGATCAGAGTGAGCCTTCGATGCTCTTGGGGACATCATGGTAGCCATTTTAAAACTCAGTGTGCTCGTGGTTGTCGTCTGGGTGACAGTATCGGAGTAGATTATTGATTCTCCATTTGACAGTGTGGAGAGTCCACTCCCATTCCATCTGCTTTCGCAAATTCCTAGCACTTTGATGTGATACCTTCTCATCTGGTTTGCAATCTAGGCAGCCTTTGTAGGTTCAAACATGGCGTGGACATTCCATATCCCCACGTTTACTTTCGCTTTCATCGAGATAGAGAAGACATATCGGCCGACTGGCTTCCCAAAGGCTTTCATCAAACGGCGTCCTTTCGCTTTTCCGATTCCAGTGAGGAATAAGTTTGGTTTTATTTTTTCTACTTACTTTGTGCTTTGAAGTTTCTTTAGCGGTTGGATTGGTTTTACGGGGTACGGTTGCTAGCCCTATGCCAAACCTTCCCTGTTTATGGGGACTTAGGACCGGCTGGTAACTAGTGAACTAATTAACCATGCAAGGTTACTTTTAACAGATAAAATTAGTTTTCTTTTGAAGTTATAAAATCATAGATACCATAGTTAGTAAGGATAGTCGACTGGTTAATCCATGTGAAAATTGTATGCCAGCGTTTGTAGTTGTATATCGAGTTAATCACGTGCTCCGGTGGAGAGTATGTGCGCATTAGGTAATCGTATGATGATGTAATATACTGACTAAAGCCGTAACATATTTTGTAGTTGAAGCCTTCCTAATCCATAAGTAAGCTACAATCTGCGCAGTGAAAGTGGTCTTGTGGATTTCTCCATGAAATTAAGTCAGTTGGTAAAGATACCATTGTTGGTTGATTGCCAGGTAGATTGGAGTAGCTTAGTAACATCTGGTGTATGTTGGGATTGCTTGCAAAAGATGCTGCTACTGAACAACTTGAGTAGTTAGAAATCACTCAGTTTAGTCTGTAGATTTCGCCAGCCAGGTTAGAGTGATCTAATCGCCGGTCAGCTGTTTCACTCTTTTAAAACCGAGCTCATCAGTGGTGTATCTGGATAAATGTTTAGCTCATAGAGCCGAATTGGTTCATATCACCTGAATCTTGCTAGCTGACTTGCATCGACTGGTATACATACATAATATAGAATGATCAGTTTGGAAGTGATTTAAAAATCTCACGGTCCACGGTGACATTTATCACAACTGAATAGTTTTCCAACTGCCCAACTGTAATGCGGTCCGGTGCTTAGATCACTGTGATCTGGCTGATGAAATTTACAGATCAGACTAATTGGTTTCTAACTGATCAGTTTATTTAGTAGTGGTATTTTTCGTAAGTTCATGATACATATGTCAGAAGTCACACGTTGTGATCTTAGCTGACTGGTTTTCAGCGGAAACGTTAATGACACCACATCTGGGTAGTCGAAAAACTACTCAACGTGGACCATGGAATTCGTAAATCATTTGAAAATTGGCATTGCTTACGATAGAAAAAATTGGAAGACTAAGAGATGGAATCAATCTATTAACTCACCGGGTGAACGTTCCAAGCATGTACGTCTACAAAATGATGAAACTGAAAAAAGATGGGTTGAAATTGTTTACTATTATATAGACATGTTCACTCTTCATCGTCGTCTTAATGTTAAACGTCTAGTAATATATTTTTCTTTTCTGTTTTCTCGCCACCTAGTGAGTGTTTGTATATTGCTGTCTGAGATGATTGCACTTTGTTCTATCTATTTGTTGAGATTCATTAAGTAATTCCCTGAGATCATATTGATATTTCTTTGGCTATTTGAGCCAAGTGAGTGCTGCACAAATGCAGTAATATACATTAAGCTAAAAACTAGGTAGTAGAGTTTTATTCTTAAATGTGAGTTGCAAATATCAGATACTGAGATCATTTACAGTACCTGGGGATTTAAAGTTACTAATTTTAAAACTCTAGGGTAGAGGATTCAATCCAAAGGATAAGTATTGCTGAGGAGTTTGTAGACCACCGTGATTTTCAACGATTTACCGAAATACGCTAACCCTTTTATGATGATCGACTTCGAATCATCTAGATCCTGGTAGCTGAATGCTTTTCTCATTAAATCTTCCTTTTTAGGTAATAGATACTGTGGTGAACGAGCATTGGTGGAATATCATTCAGTTTATAGTTGCTGTACTGGAGTCGAATTATCCTCAACCTGTCAAAGAACAAGTCAGTCTACTCCTTTCTCCTACATTACTTGTATATTTTTCGAAATCAATGCATGGTGTGAACTGAATTTTAGGTCTAAATTTTTATTCTCTATCTTCAATATCAACATATGTCGCCTAGTATTTATCCAGATACCAAGACGCTAACAATAGACATTGATATACCCACTCGTAGAGGAAAATTGGTGGATTTTAACAGAGCAGATCTGTACTCTTGTCAATCGGTTTCTATCTGACTTACCATTATTCCTCGTCATGCATTGTAGCAATTCGTGGGAAATCGACTCGTCTGAATATAGTTGTCATCACGAACTAAAAACAGCTAGGAATCTGTTGAAAACTATTGAGCACTGGATACGTATTTTCTTCTAGTTTGGAAATTCAGTAGTACGCATCTTTAACCTCACATATGATTTACCATGAAACCCAATCTTCTTTTGCCAAGAATGTTACTGTTCCGCCTCTGACTTGATGGGGTTGTGACAACCGTGTAATTCTGAGGCAGTGGAAGACTTTTAATCAGCTTTACCCAGTTAGTTTTCCGACCAGGACCTTGCCTCCTTTTTTAAACCGGGCAGATAACAGGTTGTCTGGTTAATATGCCTAATTGTGTTCTATTGCGTAGACTTTCTTCTTGGCCTGGTATCCATTGAGGAGCTTAGTGACCTCAGAAGCCTCATTTCTATAGTTACCGATGGTTAATTCATTCATTCTTTTGAATCACTTAGCTCATCCATGTCATTGGTTTGAAGACTGGGTTTTCCGGTTTTTTTTGATGAGTCTACTGTATCCTCTAACCTGATGGTAAGCAAATGAAATTCTCTTTCTTCCTTTCATTTTTGCGAGGATACAAAAGACTTCCCTAGTAGATGTCATGAATACGTGAATGTATAGGAGCATTTTGAGCGGTGGAACGAAGTTTACCTCTCCCTAATCATATTCAAAAGGACTATATTCATGAAGATCTAACAAATCTTTGTACTTGTCGTCAAACCTTCAATATATTGCCTATGCAAGAGACACCTATCTTTAATTTAACTTGTACTTATGTGTTTGGTTGTTGACACATTTTCGAAGATTTTTCTCCAAACGTTTTCTCCCTCTTTTTGTGACAATTGCACTAATAGTTAATAATTATCCTCTACAGTTTATTAAGAAATTCCTACGAACACACAAGAAACGAAAAGATAACAGTAACATGAGCACGAAGGGAGTGCCGAGTAAGTAAATAACGCTAATCAATTCTCTACTCTAATTCACACAGCCGTGTAAAGGCTTATGGAGAGTTGTCCTCAGAATTGAAGACAACTAACGGAAGTCGATTGGTGAGGTTCTTGACCTTGATCGATTGGAATGGGCATGTACTGCCCATACCTAGCCATCGCGTAACGGGACGTAGCATTCTGTGGGAAGCTGGATTAGGTAAGAAGATGGTTCAGGGTGGTCAGACCAAGACGTGACATCAGTCGATGAAGTTTCTGACTTTTGATCTGACCCGTGTGGGGAGATATAAGCTACTGGACTGAGGTCCCTGAGACGAAAGGAATGAATGGTTGAGAACTGTTCTTGACATGGCTGAAGAGCGGTCATAATAGCACAGATGTATTCACTCTTTGACGACTTCTAAAGTTTGAATATTCGCACTAACCTTTGTCTTCAAATTGTTAATTCTGTCGTACAGCGTTTTTACTTTGATGTCATTCTTTTTCTATCCACCTAATTTTGTATAATACTATAAGGTGTGGGAACTTGAACCAATGGACGTTTGTGCTAGGTTCTGCGTTGATTCTGTCTATCGGTTATATTTTTTTCACAAAACTTGTTTATATGGTGTTGTTGTTTCTTTGCATTCTACTAACTAGAAAATTATATCACTAGTGGCTGTCTAGGCAACGATGAACAGATCTTTGAAGAAAAGTCTTCAGAAACCCATAAGTGGTATCTACAGTATTTTGCTATGTACCATGACTTTCGTAATAGTTTAATACTAGTTGATAAACTACCTTGAATATAGAATTGGTAGTTGATGTATGTCTTATTTTAGAATAATGGCATGCTGGTGTCTATATTTGAAATAAAATACTTTTCCTGTAAATATAAAAAATAAATAAATAAAAACATTTTGTACGAGATCATACAAGTTTATGTAGTCCAGAGAATACGTTTCATCTGGATAGTTGGTAATATAACTTGTTATTATTCAGTTCGTTACACAATGGAATCACATTCTAAGATCTGTTAGCGGCTAAATGACTGCCAATATCTGTGTTACAGTTAAACAGGTGGACTGTGAACTCTAACCAACGAGTTATTTCATTTAATAGGCATATAAGTTAAATGATTAAGAGATGAATATTCTGATTCAAAATTTTGTTTCATTTTACATTTTAGGCTGTACTTGTTGTTGCACATATTGCTACTGGTCGAACTGCACGGTGTGAAGTTCATCGGAATGGCGATTTAGTTGAGAAACTTACATTATTCATGGTAATTTCCGTTTTATTTTTAACTTGTATTCAGTCATTTTAAAAGTTCCAACTTCTAAATGTTCATTTCAAATAAATAGGTTTTTACAATAGCATGTGACCTCCTTCATTGTATTCATAATCTGACATAAAAGCTCCAACGGTGGACTGTGAAACAACCAGGTGCGTAATCTTATGTCAATCTTTAGAAATCAAATAGCCTAGTGATCAGTCACTACTTTTTATTATTGAGCAGTGTAATAAATGATGGGGCTTAAAAGGTCATCTGCACGGTCATACTCGTTGTTAGTGTTTCGGTATTGAAGTTATCACCCAACAAAGTCAACACTCAGCATCATGACTTTTGCCGTCATGTGTGTAAGGACGTATAATTTCAAAGGAACTACAGAACTAAATTATTTATATGAAACCTTTTCTATCTGGATTATTCATTCTAACGTATTGTAAATTAGTTATTTTTGAGGTAGCATTCATCATGGACTGACATTAATTGGGGAACCATTGAAAACGTGGGAGCACTGGATAGCTGTTTCGACCTAGTATGGAACTCCTCAGCAGTACGGACCCACGACCCGGCTAGGGACCAAACTCAGGACCTTCAGGTTTCACGGCGAACGCGTTAACCATCCAGCCACTGGATTGGAATTCAATCGTTCAGTTTCCAACTTGTGTCTATTCACGATATAGCGCGACTATCACCCAAGTAGTTATTGTTGGTAGCAAACTTCGAAAACTAACATTGTATATTACAAATAAAGTAGTGATTCCTAATGTTTTCCTCAAGCATCTGTTTTGTACATTATTTCATCATGTAAGTTGTGTATTAAGGTCAGATTACAATTTAGCCGGATTCAGTTTTTAAGTCGCTATCACGGTTGCGTGATCGTGAATTACGAAATCAACTGTAAAGGAATCTTGTAACGTTTGAACCCAAGCTAAAGATTGTGAATTCATCGGCATCGTAGTGTATTAAAGAACTTCTGTTGTTAATTCTATCGACAGTCTACATTAAAATAAAGCCAGTCGTAGTGTAACAATAGCAAGTCTATCAGGTTTATCGCTTCTGAGAATATTTTAATTTTCATAGACCAATAATAATTATCGACCTTCCTCACCATCTGTTAGTTACTGATTCTCATTTATTTCGACAACCACTTGTTTCTGTTATCTCTTCCAAAGGATATCCATATTTACATCTTTCATGGTTAACTTTTAACCGTCATGATTGTTTTTCTCACAATTGTACATTTTTACAGATTTCATATGGTTAGCAATAGGTGGAGTTGACTTTTATGATCGATTAGCTTTATTTACACTATTAACCATTCACTCAACTATAATTATGTGATAGTAAGAAAGCGCACCTCATTTTATGTGCTGATGAGAAGATAGTCAACTCCTCCAAAATACCTATAGTGTGTTTATATATACACCCCATCGTACAAATTATTGTAGTTGTTACTTTCAAGATACTTGGCCTATTCTGTTTCTAAGTTATTTTACACCTAATTAAACACACTATGAATTATTTGTAGTAATGTACTTTCTTCATTAAAAGGACTACATTATTTTACAAAACGTGTTTTCTCATGCGTTATTATTCATGCCGGGAAATCGAGAATTATCTACAACTAGCTATTGGTTATGTCACATTAGAAAGATATGCAAATAATTAGTTTTCTCCAACAACTGCCTCATTATTATTACTATTATGATGAGTAGGACTGCTAACAACTGAATATTTGACTTTCTGCATTGATGAGGCTAGTGAGGTAACCACATTCAGACAGACAAGTCAATGTAGAAGGAGCATGAATAGTATCATGCCTATTGTTTATTATTTTGTTTATCGTATTTTGTATATCGTACAGCTTATACCGTTAGCACAGTCTCAATAAAACTAATTTGCTTTGCGGTTACTAAAACTGCTCCTGTCCAACGTGTTTTGTTTTGCTTTTTCTTGCTTTAGCGTTCTCAAAACAGTTATACAAAAGCTGCTGCGTTGACTGCAACGTATAATCTTTTAGGCTTACATACGGAATGCCTTGGTAAGTGTAACATGCATTTTACCGTAGTACTGATTGTTTTCACTTCAAATACTAAATATTTTAAGGTAGTATTAGTCATGAATTAACATCAGGTGGGGAACCTGGGAGCACTCAACGGCTGTTTCGTCATGGTATGGGACTCCTCAGAAGTGCACACCCACTACTTAACTAGAGGTTTCATGGTGAACGCGTTAACCACTGGGTCGGAGCTCAATGTTTCACAGTCTTGTACTTCTGTTTATTCGCGATGTAGCGCAACTACCATCCAAGGTCTTAAGTTGGCATCCGCTTCACTTCCAGCTGGTTGACTCCATAGATCACAACTTCTCATTAGAACTTCATGCTATCCATCTTGAAGAATATCACTAATGTGAAATATACATTAATGTATTTCGAGGTCAGTGAGGATTTTAGTCTTGAGGTTAGTGTTCATCATGGACTGATATCAGTTAGAGAACCATTGAGAACCTGGGAACATTGGACAGTTGTTTCGTCCTAATGGAGAAAATTGACCTGGTAGTTTTCCAATAGATAATCATTATCCTTATTAACAAACCTTTCTTTATTGTTTTCGGAATGTTTTGGTTTCCTACTGAAACATATCTCCGTAACTCCGAATTTTTCATTCGGTGCAGTACATTCGGCAATGTGTCTGATGTGTTTTCATTTCGGTTTTGTCAATTCGTGAAACTCAAGTTGTAGTAACATCCTGGTAAATGGATTACATATTAGTTTTATTAATGGATATCAGTAGTGCCACCATTATTGTTTCCCATTTTCCTTCCTGTTTGCCCCTTCTCTTTAACTGTCGTCTTCACTTCTAACATATGCAAGAGTCACTCAGTGACCTAGGCAACTGAGTTTCAATGAACAAATGCTGGGTTAAAACAATACTTCACTTACTTCCGTCTGGGTAATGAGGTAGTGTTATTAAGCCCTCCTGCATGAAGCGAAGCTCATGACTTAGTCGCATTATTGTCCTGTAAGCTCTACCTTTTTCCATTTTTGTAGCCTCAGATGATGACTTTTATCTGCAGCCTGTGTCTCATGAACTCAGAAACTGCATTCCTTACTGATTAGAGAAGTCATTAAAGTTTTGCTTAGATCTATATTTAAAGCTTTTACATCCGTGATTGTCAGTATGTATACTAGATGTTTATGCCCTTTTGTCTCGGACATCTAGTGAATAGGTTGCAACCAGTCATCTAATTTCACCCAACTCAATATACTTAACCTGAAATTTAAATTAACATAGTGTTAATAGGTACTATCTGTTGAAGTTTGATTTGAACCAAATGCCTGTATCAATTTAACTGATTTGGAGAAATTTCTGCATTCCTTCAAGCTAGTAAGTTTTGTCATAGAAGCGAAAGAAACAAGTGGCTAACAACAACTTAATTAATAAATTGCATTAAAAAGAAAGGGTAGTTTCGTAAACATATGCTCATGGTTTAAGGCAGTATAAAGAATTAGTGTTTGTACTATTAGCATTGGCTATGTAATATATGCATATAAGTTTATCCCTTTTGGTCTGAATATCCGTACTGTCATTATTTTCATTTTCCGTTTGTCCTGTCGTTTTCTATTTGTTTCAGATTCTTGTGGATTACTAAGCGCTTTGAAAGTGAAGCGTAAACCATTTATTTTATCCCATAGTAGACGTTTAAGGGTTCAACACTACCGTCATGAAACGCATCATGGAAAGAAACAAGATATCGCTAGTCAGTCAACATCTTTAATACCTTCTAGTATTAGTCGCCGTGAAGCACCAACATGTATGGCTCAGAGTGCTTTAGAAGAAGCTGAAGAAGAAAATGAGGAACAGGAAACAGTTGTAGAGCATTGTAGTTATGCAGGTGAAACTATGTCTGAAGAAGCGCCTGTAATTCCGCAAACTACTGATGCCGCTATATCATTTTCTATAGAAGATGACAATGTTGATCAAACGAGATTACGTACACTTCGACGAAGAAGATATTATCGTTCATCGCAACCGAGTTCCCCTCCTGCTTCAGATGATCGTCGATTGTTAGATATAACTGGACAAGAAAGACAGTTAACTGAACCATCCACTGGAACTACTAGATCACCTTCGCCAAATTCTAGATCGCCGTCATCATCATTAAGCACTTCTTCAACATCATCATGTGCAGAAGGTGAAACCAGTGTGGCCACGGAACTAACGAATTTACATCATTCAGTTGCAGTCGATATGTGTGGAATTTCATCACCTAGTTGTACTGATGAAGATATCGAGGATATAAATCAACATCCTGGGACTTTGAGTTCTTTATCGCCCTCTTTGACCATAAGTGATCGAGCTCCACTAGCTGATGAAGAAAGAGATGAAGATCGTGTCAGTGCAACAGAAGTGCAAAATTCAGCTATAGGAGATTCTGACTTATTAAGTCCAATGTCTTCATCTAGTCAGAAGTGTGAATTAGGTTCGAATCCAGATGATGTTTCGAGTGCAGAATGTTTTGAACTGAATAGTTCAGAGCAAATGGACAGTATACAAAATGTTTCCGACTCTAATGAGAATGTCCCATCGACATCTTCAAGTTCTCGTCGAGATTGGGAGGCGGGATTCTGTCGGATTTTACTGCCTTTCTTACAAGAATTGGATTCCGATCAAGTGCTACGCAGTACGTGGGACTGGTTAATGTTATGCGCTAATAAAGATGGTAAACCAGTGTTTCTTAATTCTCTTTTTCATGCTTGGCAACGACTATATACAAATATTCCAAGTTTAACAGAAACACAAACCTCGAATTTAGAGAGATCAGAATCTTCTGCTCCTGATAACAATAGTAATAATATTACTGTTAATGAATTTTTGAGTAAAATTAAGGAGTCTATTGAAACAAGTTCATCCAACTCCGTATTGACTAACTTACCTAGATACTGGGAAAATCGACATCGTCATCGATGCCGACGTCAACATCGTCATCATTGTCATCGACGTCATCGTGTACGTAGACAAAATCAGAACCAATCCACAGATCAGCCTGAATCAATTACTACAATCGATACAAATATCACAAATTCACCAATGCCTCCATCAACATCTAATGAAAACCTTGAACAAACTGGTTAAGCAGACTCAAAACAAATTTACACTTGTAAGTGATTTTAATCATGATTTATTTGTTGAATAGATAGACAGAGCAGTTGTGTTTTTCGTTTAGGAATTAAAGAAATACTATGTTCGACTACCTCCGTTTAATTTTCATCAGATGGTTTTGTTTCTATTTTGACTGAGTTAATTTGTTGTCCGAAATTTGACCTATGCTGCTTTAGGATGGTGAATACGCGTGTATATATAAATATTGTTTGTATACAATGCTTATTCACCGATGGCGTACATGTTTTTATAATTATGTGCAGCGTTTCAAGTTCTATACACTTTCAATTAGATTTTGTTTTGCTAGAAAAAGATACCACTTCAGTTTTTTGTCTTTCTACTACACTTCCATTTTCCCTACCTTTATCTCATTATTATATTGTAGTGTTTTACTCTTACTCTTTACAGGTTGTCAGTCATACACATGCTAATCATGATCCCTGTAACTCCTGTCATCATCCTTATCATTCCTATTAATTGGCTTTTACAATTTTGCACTGAACAATTGATTTTTCATTCAACCTCCCCTTAGATATCCGTATTAACCAAACAAATCAACAAGAATTGTTAATATTTATTTTAAAGTATGATAAAATAGATTATGATAAATAACTGTCAATCCCCGTCCCTTCCAAATCATCATTGGCGTGAAGTAGGAAATTGAGAAAGTCAAAAGAGTGCCGAAGTTTTGTAATTTTTTTTTGGCAGCATTATCTTCTCCATAGTTGTTATTATTCTTAGCCTTCTCACCATCATTTTAAAACTGTCAGTACTTTTTTTTCAAACACAATAGTACATTCATATACAACTTTTGTCTTCTCATATTCTTCTTTGTGAAGTTTTTTTGTTTACTTAAGACTCATGCATATACCTTTCCCTGTCTTGCTTATTCTCCCTTCTCTTATGCCATCAGGCTGAGTCGATGTTATGACTTTATGCATGTATGTACGAAATCATTTGAAGATGGATCCTACACTTTAATGATCTTGCACACTGTTGACAAGTCTTTTCATTGTATTTCATACTAATTATATTATGTAATTACCCCATTTGTATATTTCATTTACTATGAAAGGAAATGTGTTAAAATACAGCAGTGAACGTTCTTCTCTATCTTCTGTTTTAAATCCGTGCAACAATTAAGAACTGATGAAACTTAATTCGGCACAACTTTATATGGTAGTTTATGAGCCATACTTATAGTATGAGAGCTGATATATTTCAACTCCGAACCTATTGTACTTGAGAGTTGAATAGGTAACCCAATTAGCCACTTCTTCACGGTAGATTAAGTGAGTTCAAAGTAATTAGGTTTTACTGTTTCTGTGTTGTTGCTCGTGGCGATCGTGACTCCGTGGTTTAGGAGATAACGCTCCGGTGTTTGAAATTATCGGTGCCAGGCTCGAGTCCTCGTGAGAACAACACAGCCCTTTGATAGGCAGATACATCCAGTTGACGATTCCCTAATAGGACAAAACGTGCGTCCTGGATTTCACTGCTAATCACTATCCATCAACAGTATGAAGACGGTTTCGGGTTTAACATAAAAATGGGCATCGGGCTGGAAATTCGGTGGTCACTGGTTCGAATCCGGCCGCGGTCCAGATTTTCATTTCACCTCCAATCATCACCCAGTATTAAATACTAGTCTGTCAAACTACACCTATCTCAGGTAGTCAAATGGTATTCAAAATAAAAATGTTACTGTTTGATGCTTCAGTTTACATATAGATTAATAAATCCAATGAGTAAGTAAATAAATAATCACTCACTGACAATTTATCAGCTCTGTTGAGTACAGTATGACTTGATGCAAGTTTAAGAATTTCAAAAATGAGGACGGTAGATGTAAGTTTACTCACTTTAACATTACCTGAATAGTGTACCGATTCTGTCCGGCAACTGGTAACTATGATTTTGCAAGTGTAACAATGGCATTAATTCTGTACCAATAGCATTGTATCAAAGTGAGGAAAAGGTCAATGAATTACTCACAAAATTGAAGAATGAATGATGAGCACATACTTCGAGGCAAATTCTAACTGGAGTTCATCTACTTCTAGTTTGTCAGTGTTGATCTCGAAACTCCTCCTTTCGGTGCAATTAAATGGCTTCAAAATAACCAGGAGCTTAAAAGATACCAGGTTCTGACAGTATACTTCCGTAGAGCAACTGAGGTCGTAACAATAAAAGTGGTCACGTAATTCTTCGAACTGCAGGATTCGGGTTTTGACAGCTCATCGTTACAGTTCTGGAAGAAAGATAGGTGTTTGTATGATAACCACAGGAACTAGGTAAGTTGACAGAGTCCTACAGCTATAAGATCCACCTTCTTCCGACATCTTACTATCCTGACTGATATCTGCCATTGACTTGGTGGTCAGCCTTGCATATCACAGACCGAATTCAACTAACAAGGCCAGATCCAATTGGTCTGTATGCTTCGTTTTTCTGAGCTGAATTTATCCGGATGCACCACTGATGTACTCAATCCCAAACATGTGAAACTGGTGTCCCGTGTTTAGAACACTGATATAGCTAGCAGAATCTACAGATGAACGTGAGCGGTTTCTCATGTTTCATGTTCAACAGCATATTTTGATAGTTCATAACATTTTGGTGTCAGAATTGATGCCTTGTGATGGTTACCAAATGAGAACCTGGATGGTACAATTCGTTAATCATTTGCACATTGATCATTTAGTCGGCGTTTAAAGGATTCAGATGAAGTAGCCTGGATCATATCTGCAGGAAGAGCGTCCCAGGGTTTAACAACCCTTAGGGTATAGAAGCTGTGCCTGATATCTAACCTGCTATGTTGCAGGTTTAGTTTCTGTGTGTGTCCTCTAAGATTAGTGCTTCAGCTAAGATTTAATAAGTGATGGAGTAGGTGTCCAGGTGTGCTCAGAATGTTATGAGTCATTATCAAGTCTCCTCTTAGCCTTCGGTATTCTAGAGGATACAGATCCAGCTCTACCAGTCGTTCTTCGTATGTTTTAGACCAAAGTCCTCGAACACGTTTTGTCGAGCATTCTAAGCTTAGTTTGTCCTTCTGGAGAGAAGGGTGGAAGACGATGATCCCGAACTCCAGACGAGGCCATATGAAGCTGTATAAAATTTGGTGCAAGCATCTACGATCGAACTGTCCGAAAATTCGTTTGGAAGTTACTAACGCCAAGTTTCCACGAAGTGCGTTTCTGTCACAGTTGGCATAGGTTTTTAAGTTTTGAGGGAACAAAACACCCAAATCCTTCTCTGTCAGCGACGCTTCACGTTCCATACCGTTGAGGCCATATACATGAGATGCATCGTGTTTTACATGTATCACCTTCCATTTCTCAGGATTAAATGCACCTGTTATTGACTGCCCAGTTTTGAAGTTGATTTAAGTCTTCCTGTAGAGAACCACTATCTTTCTCACTTTTGATTTTGCTCCCTAGTCTATCATCGTCAGCAAAAACAAGGATTTCGGAATAAACCTGTTGAGACGAGCCGTTTTTGTGTGTTCCCTGACTAAGACTCGGTATATGATTGTTTGTGTTTCATTTATCTGACCCAATAATTATTCAACAAGAGAGCCCTTTCAGGCTTACATTAGCTGCATAGATGCTAAAGTGAGATTCATACCTCTCTAAGGTAAATTATTTTTTATGAGAAAATAATTTCCAGCCCAACTACCTTTCATGGGTTTTGTGCACATTCTAAATATTTCAAAATAATCCGTTGCTTGATAGTATAGATATGATTTCGCCCCTTGTTTAGTAGTTTTCAAACTTATTTATACACTCGTTTGTCGTCGGATGAAAACTCCTTAAATTCGGAAATAAGTGGTAGTGTCTGATATTTATATGCTTGTAATACTCATTTTACTTTATAAACTGGTAGTGATTTGACATTTAAGTCAGTATCATTTTCTGAACCAAAATGTCGTGTTCAAAATTTTGAGTTTTCCCTGAAATTTTTAAAGGAACTTGTTGCACGTTCATGTAACAGGTAGTGAACAGGCACACGTGTTGTGTGAGGGCTAAGGATACTTTCTGGTGGCCCTAAAGCAATTAGGTGAAGCTGTGCTCTTACCAATGACTCCCGTTTGAAAACCAACTGCAAAGACTAGTGAGCCAGTACTGATCTTTTGCCGGTAATCCCTTTATTTGAAGGACAGAAAGTGATTAATTCCAATAACAACACATATACCTACTCAAACGTTGAAAAAACAAACGCCAATAACTGCCACCCGGTTCATGAGATATTCAAGATAGCATCTCCACGAATTATTAAAGAATCAAAATGTGAAGCAACAGGCAAATCAATTCACCGTACCTAAGTAAACGTATCAGATAAAAACAGAAAAATCAAGCAGAGTGGTGAATGAGGGACACTAACACAATAGTGTCGAATCACATTTAATGCCTATGTAGGAAACAAATTAACCAGAATCATACAAAAGGCATGAGTGCGGAGAGTACAGATGAGACTATTCATCTGAGATGCTGTGACACTCAACTCCACTCCACTCGAACACATGTACAGCATGATACAGTGTGATATCGGAAGAAATGACAAAATCGAAAATTCTCAACAGCAATGCCGAAGCAAGCATTTCAGTTCTGAGTGACAGATTCAGTTGTCGAGCAAAACTCGTTCAAAGGTGAATGTCGTCATATCGCCGATCTGTGAGCTCTCGACAACCACACCTATTGCATCCCGATTCTTGACGAATGTGAATCGACACTCTAATTTTGGCATATCACTGCACATGCTGTGATGCTATTAAGATTAGGATTCTGTGTGTGTGTGTGTGTGCATGTACGTATTTCGGTAGACTGGTGACGCGACATCAGCAGTTGGCCAACTAACGGTTTACTAGTGGTGTTACTGTTGCATCTCCAACTGTTGGAAATCGGAAACGGTGGTGGGAGGACACCAGGTTCACATCATGAAGATTCAAAGAACCAAATAAGCGATGAAATCCAGTGAGAAACACTTCATCACAAATCACCTTATTGTATATCACTTCGACATCCCAAGTGCTCAGTAGCTCGTAGATATCAGTCGACCAAAATGCACAACAGAATGTCTTCTTTTTCTCTCGACTAAGTGACATGAATTCCAGAGCTTCGGATCAAGGTAGTAAGTCATTGCTTCACTTCTCGTCATATGTCGATCTTGGTCATTCGTATTTCGCCTTCAGTGTGCTTGGATTAATGATATTCTGAGTCTCATGTGCACGTATGAGTAAGTGAGTGTATATTTGGTTGTATGGACGTGAGGTTGTGTGCACGCTGGCATGAGGAAGCACCTTCGAGTACAGCTTGGTAGACACTTCCACTTCAATGCAAGACTCATTACTCTGTCTCTTGCAATCACACTTGTTGAATAGTTTTACAGATGGCCAGTTGATGGAAGAAATGCAAGAGCCTGGAAGTATGCTGACACCAATATGGTTACAATTTAGTGATGCACACAATTCAGTTGTC